GAGAGAGAGAGAGAGAGAGAGAGAGAGAGAGAGAGAGAGAGAGAAATGATTGCTATTTTATATAATTTCCTTATCCAGAAATAGAGTTGACTTTCTCAGTTAAGCAATAACCACTGTCTATGGAATTCCCCTCTCTAGAGACAGAAATTAAAGTGGGTTTACATTTGCTTTCCTTTTACTGGATGGGTCAATAATTTTCCCTCTGAGGATGAAGCAGAACCGTTTCCAGAATTAGATGCTTCTCCATTTCTATAATTTTCTCTCTGCTTCCCCCCAATATTGTTCAATTAGTATCTTTTTATTTTCTTCTAAAATCTGTTTATTTTTCAATTGAAGTAACATTGGCTTACATTTATTTTCTTTCTATTTTTATTTTTTCCTGCTAAGAGGTTTTGGGCCAAATTAAATGCTGAAAAAGTGAACAGCAAGAAATTCCTGGCATGGAGGACTTAGACCTTAGACATGAGACCGAGGGTTAGAAACCTGTCCTTGTTTTATCCTGAGACGTGTTCTGACCCACAGCTGTTTTTGTCCCCTCAGATGTGGCTGTTGGTGCACCTAAGGAGGATGACTTCGCAGGGGTGGTCTACATCTACCATGGAGACGCTGGTGGAGTGGTCCCTCAGTACTCAATGGTAATTGGTGTGGGCGTGACATGGTAACTGCTTGCCCAGACATTCACTTCACAGACCTGTAGGGAACATGTGCCAGGTTCTAGGGCACAGAGGAAGCACAACGTTTCCTGTCCTCTAGTAACAGTCACTAACTGTTGATATTGTGTAGTGGACACAAACTCATTTTCACAGACTCCTAAGTTTGCTCACTCTCAGGGATGCCTTCTGCCTGCAACAGATCTGAGCCAAGTTCTTGCCCAGACTCAGAACTTCTTATCTAAGAAGAAACATTTTTGGTTTTGGTTATTCCTGTCCACCATCTGCGCTGTCAAAGGAATAGGTTGCTAAATGTGACTGATAAAGAAAGTGGCCCACAGAGGGGCCGAGAGCACTCCCAGGATTACTGTCGCCATTGGCATCAAAACGAGATGCTGGTCAGACTCTGGCCTGGTGCCCCAGGTTTGGGAACATGGAAGTGGTGACTTCTGTTTTTTGTCACGTCAGCTTGGTGTTCAGTCTTGCTGATGGTGTCAAGCCCAGCCCATGGGAAAAAAGGAAGTCACTCTTGACAGAGCATGGTCAGGATATTTGTGGTGTCTGTATGTGGAGTGGCACAGATCCGTCTTTGCCCCAGTGTGGGTCAGTGACAAGAAGGGGCTGAGCCCAGATTGAGAAATTTCCAGCCAGCAGACATTGATTTTTTGAACCTTTGGTGCTTACCATCTCCTACTCACACTTAAGTTTTTCATTCCTGAGAAGCTTGACTTGTGTCTCAGTTATTGCTAAGGAAATAAACTTTTGACTAGGTTTTGTTCTTAGCTGTAAAATGAAAGCAAAACTTATTCATGTACTGTATTCTCTTGGTAAGAAAGAAAGGCTTTGTGTGCTGATTTTAAGAGACACTGCATGGATATACGTTCAAGCTAACACTTGTAGTTGTTCTTGCAGCAGATAGGTTAGCTAACTCAGGGTTGAGGGTTGGTTTGCTGCCAGTCCAGCGCCAGGTTCAGACATGCTCAGACTCCCTCCAAGACACTGCAACTGATGGGGGCGCTGGTGAGGGGAGGCGCTGCTCCCTGAGTGCCTGTCTCCTGGCTTCTCAGTTCCTCTCCCAGCAGCGGGAGGGTGCCCTTGCCACTCTCCTCTATTTACAAGGTGACTGGACCCCAGGGAGGTTATTTAACTTTATTTCACTTCATTGAAGGTTAATTAACCCCAGGTCAGAAGCTAGTAAGTGGCAGTATGGCCATTGAAGCCTGCCAGTCTGACTCTCAAGCCTTTTATGTAACCACTGTCCTCCACTTTGGAAAAAGGAATGCTCAGGAAAGTTCAGTGGAAGACTTAGGAATATGGAAACTTAATGTGTCCTCAGACATCATACACCAAGGGCATTTATGCACATGGCCACCTTCTTTTCATTTGAAATAGAGACCTGTCTATGGTGATGGCGCATGGGTGATTTGGTCATGGGAAGCTCACGAGGATTACAATTGAGATGGAAAAAGGCACAAAGTGATGTAAAAATAAATGAATATACTATTAAAAAAAAAAAGAGACCTGTGAGGACCATCAACTCTTAGGTGGTTCAGCTGATGTGGAAGGCAGGAGAGAAGGCAGCTGTGGGTACAGGTTGGGGACCATGTCTCTCTCACGAGTGTCCTCTGGTTTGGGTCAAGGATGCTGTTCTCAGTGTGACAAACTGTCACTAGGGAGTCTCGTCCTCAGGCTGCTGTTGGGGTCACCCTCCACACATCCTCCTGGAAGCTTGCTCCCGGACCTGGGAAGCTAATCACATAGAGAGGCCACCTGTAGGAGACCCCCACTTCCCTTCCTCTGGGGGCCTCCAGTGTTTTGTTTTGTTGCTGGGTGGAATCTCCACAAAGAGCTGAAGTCTCAGCCTTGTGGTTAGCATGGAGTTGCTCAGTAGGAAGCGGCAATCGGCAGCTGGACCCATCCTGCCTTTGTCAGCATGAAGGTGGCTCGTTGGCCTTGACAGAGAGAAGCAGTTTGGGGCTCTTTAAAAAAAGGGAGAGAAAAAGAAACAGTGATGACTAACCTCTTGCAAGCTGTTAATGTGAATACGATAAGGTCCGTGATTTAAAAGGAAAAAAATCCTTGAGGAGTGGAACCATGAGGCAGCAGAGCCGGATAGAGTGGGCGCTGTGTGCGTGAGCTAGAAGAAGATGTCTACAATAACTCCAGGCAAGGGGTTTGCTTTCCTTTGGCCCAGTGTGGTGTTATTTCTGCTGGATAGACTATGCAAACAGGCCTACAGTTCTTCCACATTACTCTTTAACTCACTCCTTTTCCTGCTGTGCCATGAACAGTGTTGATTTTTTTTTAAGATTTATTTATTTGTACATACAGAACTGGGGTACAGGCCAGAGGCTTAGGGACGGTGAGAGGCTTCACCAGAGAACAGTGGGGAGCAGAACAGGCAGATCTACAAGTACGCTGCTGAGGGGAGCAGCGGATGGGTCAGGAGAGGTCTGCCACGCCATGTGGTCACCTCTGGGGCAGGCGGGAATCGAACTCATGCAGAAGTGGCTTTAGCTTCTTAGTGCTGTGCTCTAACCCCTTGCACCACCAGGGAGGGCCCTGAACAGTGTTGATTTTAAGGTCCTCTTGTGATGTTCTCAATCCGCATGCCCTCTGGGTGTGTCATGGCGGCCTCTGTGATCTTTGTCCTGCTGTAAGGACACTGCCTGCAAACCTGGTCAAGCAGAGGTCTCCTAAGGCTCCTGGTTTTCATTTAGGGTTATTAGTACTGAGCAGACTTATCTGCCAGCTTTATGGCATAATGGCCTACAGATGTCTGTGGGCTAACTTAAGCCGGCATCACCACCCCCCAGTGGACCACCCCTTCTCTCATTCCCCGTCCCAGCCACAGCATGCCTTGGAAATACAAACCCAGGGCAAGCTGCCCCTTGCTTGTTAGACTTCAGAGCCTAGAAGGGCTGCTTTAAAATGTGGTTTTTAAGAAATAGGCGGGCACACACATATGTTTGTTTAGACAGAGCCCTGTGGGATGTGGGGCTCTGCCCGCTCGCAGGAATCATTGCTTTAGGTTTCCTTCAGCGCTGCGGTATCTGCTGGGACGCCTGCATGCCTCCTGCTGGGCAACCTAGCTGCAGATGGCCAGTGGCCGGCTGTGTGCGGTTATTGGCTGCTGGGGGGTGGGGGTGTTCCTGCTGCCTCCATCTGCAGATCCTGTGGAAAAGCCCTCTCCCTGCACACTCTGGCACTTTTGCTGGAAAAGGATAAGGAAAGAATGTCCATGGTGAGCCTCTAGGTATCTGTAAATTTGGTTCTGAGGAGGGTTTGACCACATGGCATGAGACCAAAGCATAGCTCTTACCAGCACTGTGTGCACTGGGAGGCCAGCCTGCTCAAGGAGGCTGCATAGGTAGAAGGGAGGGGTCAGGTTCCAGAAAATGGGACCTTCCTGGTTCAGTTCAGTAGCACTGTGACGAATGGTGCCACTTGC